TTTTGCGGTACGCGGGTCTCTCACTGTTGTGGCCTCTCCCGTTGCGGAGCAACAGGCTCCGGATGCGCAGGCCCAGCGGCCATGGCTCACGGGCCCAGCTGCTCCACGGCACGTGGGATCCTCCCAGACCGGGGCACGAACCCGTGTCCCCTGCATCGGCAGGCGGACTCTCAACCACTGCGCCACCAGGGAAGCCCCCCATCCATTTGTTGATTTCTCCATTTGTTCATCCAACCTTCTTTGGAGTGGCTACAACGTACCAGGTGCTGTACCAGGCTGTAGGCATATAGCAATGAGCGAAACCAACATGGTGCCTGCAGCTGGGGAGGAGCTGAGGGTCTGCAGAAAGAAGCTCTAGATCTGACCCTCTCCATTTTTTCTCATTAGCCCCTTCTGATTTGAAGAACAAAAGTAGGACTGATTCGTTGCAATAGTTTTTTTTTTTCTCAAAGCACAGTAGAATGAAAAAAAATGCTTTCCATCACAATGTTTTAAATATAAAAGTGATGTAAAATTGGAGTTAGCCTTTGTTATAAAGCAGAAACTGACACACCATTGTAAAGCAATTATACTCCAATAAAGATGTTTAAAAAAAAATGGAGTTAGCGTAAATGAGAAACAGAAGGAAAACATTCTCCTGGTGGAGGTGGGGTGAGGGAAAATCTTGCCATGTCATTCACACGCATCTCAGGAACACTCTTCCTGGGGGTTCTTGGGTTTTCTGGCCGACAAAGATGTGATACTATTTCTAACAGAGGATTTTACTCATCAACACACTCATCTGTTCAGCAAATGATTGTGGGTCACCAGTGACATACAGTGCCCACCACTGGGTGTGAGTCATACAAGGGAGGTAGTTAGTCACGTTCCCTGCTCTCTACGGACTCTCTGTCTTGTGCAGTAGAACAGGTAGACACATGCCCTGACACTGCAGGACACGGCATGTGAGTGGCAAGGGGCAAGCAGAGAAAATTGAGGATGGGGAAACCACTCCTGGCTGGGGGACCCTGGGCTTCCTTCCTAGGGGAGGTGGCATTTGATTTGGACCTTGAAGAAAAGGTAGAATTCTAATGCTTGGCTAATGGAGGGAGGGGATCCCACAGAGGAGCCCCCGAGCCAGGAAAATGCAAAGCAAGGTGAAAGGACATTGAGGAATCCAACAGAGCACTGAGGAAGTGCACAGAAAGGGCAGAGGGTGACAGGTTTTGGAAAAGCTGGCTGGGGCCAGGTCAAGAGCCTTGCATGCCAGGCTGAAGACTTGGAATGTTATTCCTTAGGCACTGGGGATCCATTGAAAGTTTCTGAGCCTGGGAGTGATAAGACCAGAGCAAAATTAAGAAAGTAACGTAGGGTAGTGTTAAGAGTGAATTGAAAATGGAAGAGGGGAGAATAAGGAAGATTGGTTGGTTAAGAAGTTATTATAGGGACTTCCCAGGTTTGATCCCTGGTCGGGGAACTAAGATCCCACATGCTGTGCGGTGTGGCGGAAAAAAAAAAAAAAAAAAAAAAAAAGAAGGTATTATAGTGATCTGAGGATGCCTGAAGGGAGATTATGACAGTGGGAGAAAAAGTGAGCAAATTCAAAAGATGTGGTACAGGAAGAACCTCAGGACGTGGCAGCTATGGACAAGTTGTGGAAAGTGAGGGAAAAGGTATAAAGGATGACTCAGAGCTCTGAGCTTGATGGACTGGTAGGATGATAGACATGGAGAGATGCCAAGGAAAAAGGGAGGCGATAAAGCATGTCTGAGCATCTCGAGTCCCTAATCTCTTAATGCTGAAAATGGGAACATTCCGAGGAGAAAAGAGGTGGGAATATGGCCATTGGTTATGCTTTGGTAGTTTGTGCATTGGGTGGGCAGTTTACTGTACAACCCCAGGAGGCACGGTTCTATAAGTCGGGGTGGGAACAGTGCTCGCTGGAGCTGGGCAACCCGCTGGCCTTTGTGGGTAGATCCTTCAGCTGAGAAGAAATCGCATGCTGTTTGAGCTCTTGTTTCTGGTTGGCTGTGACTTATTGTGTTCTGTCTCCTGTTGCAGTTATCGCCTGTGTGACCCTTCTGAACGAAAGTTATATGGAAAATCACCTCTCTTCGGACAGTATTTTGGTCTGGAAAACCCAGGGACCATCCAAGTGGGAGACCCTGTGTACCTGCTCGGCCAGGAATAGGAGTCATATGTCCTGGAATAGCAGATGTCTTTAAAAAAACGTCCTCAAACATGCCAACACTTGAAGCACAGTATTTTGGACCTGACACCTTGGCATTTTCTTTAGATCTGTGATCTCCAAGTGTTTCATCTTTTGGACTCTTCCTTGTGTCTCAGTGCTTCCAGCATCCCAGTGCACAAAGTGAAGAAAGAGAGTTTTGATAACTTAATAGGACTTCAGTAAGTCACTTCAATGACAAGGCAGGATTCTAAAAATCGCTTGCTTCACTATGATTGTGGAATAATTCTTTCTCCTCCTTCTCCATTCACCTACCCAGAGGGCTAACTTCCGTCATCTCATT